GAATAGGGGGATTTATGTCAAGGGGTTTTCTTTCGTCACTTCAATTTTATATCCCAGTTTTCGAAATCTTTCGAATAGATTGGGTATATCCGCTTTATTGACCCCCTAATGCATTATATAGATCTTTAAAGGGTGTGTTGTTTTCGATATCTTTCTCAAAATTATCAAGGGAGTCTCTCTTTTCACAATAAAAGAGGGTCATCTTTAAAAATTTAGTTAATGTATTATATAAGTACTGATGTAGTTCTTTATGCCATCTCTTGTTATTTATAATTTTAACCTCATTTTTTAAAGAGGCATATGTGGAATATAGTGCCTCCTGATAGTGTATTTTTGTACGATACCTATATGCTTTGTGTAAAAAACCTATATATGAAGTAGGGCTTTTTTTGTTGACAAATTGTTCTCTTCTTTTTTCTGAAAATCTCCTCCACCCCTTCCTGTTCTTAAAATTTTTCTTTTCCTTTTCATATTTCTTCTTTCCCGTTCCGCACAGATATTTTAATATCTGTATAATGTGCTCTTCATTGTTTTTTGGCCTAATTACAGTATTCCAACTTTTAAAATCCTTTAGTGTAATGCTAGTATTATAGGAATGATTTACTTTATCAATTAACTCACCCACTTCTTTATCAACGCTGAGAAAATTTAGCCGAAAATTAAATGGAAACATCAAATTTTTACTGGCAGATGAATTTGCGAGTGTATTAGCGGTTTTTGTGTGGTTATCTGGTGCATTTTCACCAGAAAATCTAAGTAATGCTTTTGCAGCGTAGTAAATTCCGTAATACCAAGTTGGAATAGAGGCGACTGAAAGTCTCCTATGCCCTGACTCGAGTTCCGTCATTATTTTTAAAGCAGACAAGTATTGTATTGAAAAGTACAAGTCTTTATATAGATTTTCCTTTGATCCAGTGATTTTATTTTTATTTAGATTTTTGTATTGTTCATTAATTGATTCAAGGGTTATATATTTATTACTTAATTCTGATAACGCCTTCATAAAAAAAAGCAGATTCAGTTTTGATGAATTTATATTATTTTCAGACACTTAAATAACTAACCTCTATGAGAGTTGTAATAAACAATACGTTACTCTCCTTCGCCTTCCTCTCCAAAAAGCTCCTCTAAGTCTCGCATTACTTTTTCATGCTTTTTTTCACTTTTTATGATCGCATCAAAGGCTTCATCTGCGTCTTTTATACGCTGTTTTCTAGCTTTTTCTCTTTCAATTTCGGGCTGCATGAGCGCATCAAAACCCTTATCTGCTTCCTTGATTCTTTCCTCTCTCATCATTTCTCTGAAAAAGTTTTTATCTGCTTCGCTTAAAGATTGTTTTTCTGGGCCTTTTTTCGTGGCAGCTTGGATCTCTAGGCTAAATAAAACAAGAAGAGCATATGTTAATAATTTCATCAATCTTATCTCCAAAGAAATAGTAATATATGAAATTATTTCACAATATTATTAAATAATTATTTATTTGTATTTTGTGGATGGCTAAAATATTTTGTTTAGAGTATCTTTAGTGTTCTTCGCTGACATGTTCTGCAAACTCGGCAAAATCTTCGGCCAGTTTGAATTCTTTGTAAATGGAGGCAAAGCGGATGTAGGCAACGGGGTCTAAATCTTTAAGAACGTCCATGATCATTTCACCAATCACGCGGGCTTCGACTTCTGTGTCTCCTAGGACCTCTAATTGACGCACGATACTATTTAAGACGCGTTCAATTTTTTCCTGATCAATGGGACGTTTGTGAAGAGCAAGTTTGACCGCTTTTTCTAGCTTATTTCGATCAAAAGGCTCTATATCTTCATTCTTCTTTTTCACCGAAAGGTGAATCATCTGAATGCGTTCAACGGTCGTAAAACGGGCAGAACATTCCGCGCAATAGCGACGGCGGCGAATGGAAGATTTTTTATTGGCTTAGCCATTATGGTATATCAGCCAATATACCATAATCTACAAATATGGTAAGCGTACGCGTCAGCTTAAAATTAAAAGGACTGGGCCACATACAGTATGTGCTCACACACCTTAGCTGCAGCGGAGAAAATGGGTGTACTTAAAGAGTTCCTGAATTGGTTTAAAGGCAAGAAGCGCTCACCTAATCTTTCAGCAATTGCAAATGTGAATATGCCAAAGAACGCAGGTCAAAAAGTTGGAACAAGAAAACGAAAAAGTGGCAACAATAAAACATTGACAGAGGGAAGACAAACTGTTCGCAGTCGGGTCTTACAG